CTCTCTCTCTCTCTCTCTCTCTCTCTCTCTCTCTCTCTCTCTCTCTCTCTCTCTCTCGTCTGCCTTCTCCTCTCCATAGCCCTAGCAAACTGGGCCCCAGCAGCACTCCAAGAAGTGCAAGCCAACAGCCAACAGGAATAACGGAAACTAGAGCAGGCTGGTCTTTTGTAGTGTTTAATCTGCTGGGCCAGCCTGAGGTTGCCTGATCGAAGGGCTGTAACACAGCGCATCACACACCCCTGCAGAGGAGGTGTTAAGAGAAGAGGCCCATATAGACTCTTTGACAGTTCTTAATCTATGAATGATTTCACGCCCTGTGCTCGTCAGAATCCGTAAGGTGTGTTTCCTGAAGACACACATTGTTGGATGGGATGTTATCAAACCAGTGGATTGCCAATGTGAAGCTAAACCAAATTTAGTGGCGAGGGCAGGATCGTTGCAAGACCGTGAACATTCCATGATTGTATGTCCACTTCACCTCTTGCCTTGATTTTATCATTTATACTGTCCCTCCTACCTTCTGCAAGGAACCCGACTGTTCATCACTTTATGGAGTGCATTAGATCACATGCATAAATGCAGATTTCATGAATTGCGATGCCTCACACAAAGCTCAATAGAAAATGAATGAGAACCAGGAAGCTCATCTCAATTATCAAAACCAGATTAAAGAGGTAACATCGTGAGTCCAAAATATACAGCGCTGAACAAAGTTAACAAGTCTTCTTCAACCAACACGTGTACCAGGCCTGGCGCTCGTCAGCGCCAACTGCCAATCATCATCAACAGCGCTCAACAGGTAAGTGTCACCATAGCTCACTCCTCCCCCTCTCTTATCTGCTTTCTTCTCTCTCTCCCTCTTAGATTTATAGTCCTGGTCTACCCTCACTCGTCATGCATGCACACTCCTTATCACACAAGGATCTACTCTGAATACTACTCACTGGTACTCCTACTACTAACCCTTCTACCACTACTAACTTCTGTTGGCGCAGCTATGGCTGCTTCCCTCAGCCAGCGCCCAACTCCCTTCTTCTTTCTTAGCACAGCTCTCTAGCCTGCGCGGTTCACTAGCATTCTGGCACACAAGTGCCTCAGCACTTCCACACTCTCATGCCCATGAGAATCTCTGCCGAATGAGGAGGTTGGCCAGTCCTTTATACTGCTGGACTGGTCTGGCGAGGTCTAATTTCAGCCTCCCTCGGCCTGGGACTCTTCCCCAGTACCTGCTGTTGCAAAGTGTGTGTCCCAGTACCCTTTCCCACGGTCTGCTGCTGCTGTGGCCTGTCTTTTGGACTCCTGAACTGAATCAGACGTGACCCTGGGAACTGTGACTGGCCTGGGACTGTTACCTTTGACTTAGTATTGAACAGACGTGACCTTATCTTTAGCACTAAAACAAAACACAGCACCTGCTCATCCAAGAACTGACTGTGAATTTCCACACGACTTATCCTTTTCATTTGGATGCGACCTTTGCCTCAGAGTACTTGTCTTTTGGAATGCTACACGTGAAATTAAGTTCTGGCCATCGGGCCCCGCTATGCTGGGGTACTCATTTGGGGTCTGAATCGTAAAGACCCTTTTACTTCATGTCTATCCATGGTTTCTCTTTGTTCAAAACCGCAGCTGGTGGTAATGCATAGAGTGAATGGATCTCCAATGGCGAGATACAGCATCGGGCATATAGACTCGGCTCACTTCAATGGTAATTAGTAAATACCAATTAGGTTTCTTTTTTCATTTAGATATTTTATGGAACTTTTAACTTTTAAGGATGATATTTATTGTAAAGCTGTAGGCTATAAAGTTAGTATAAACTTTATTATTATATAAAAATAATAATACAGCTACTTGTGGAAGTTGTGGTAGCGCTCAGCGTTCAAACAAATTTCAAAAACATGCGAGGCACTCAATCATAAGAAAGTCTGGAAATTTGGAACATTGATGTCTGTTCCAGCGTCGAATTTCATTAAGAAAGAAATACCTTGAGCATTGCTGCTTTCCTCGCATTGGAGACAGCACGCTCCTTTTCTTTCTCAGCCTCTCTCGCTCTTCTGAGAGCGACAATTTCTTTCAGAGAGAGAATCGTTGACGCAGCCTGCAAAATAGAATTTCCCCTTATTTTCCACATCAGCATACATATCCTTCCACACACATGGAAAACAACACAAAACAGTGGCATCAAACACTTGCCTGTTGGAGTCACAAACAAAATAAATGAATACATAAATGATAATAAATTAAATTTAGTTAATAATAAATTAATAATATAGAGCAACGTGTATCCAACAACTCCACAAGCACTACACATTCCATCTACCTTTGAGAATGCCAGTTTGCAATTTGAATTTCGATTTTCAATATAAAGTTAATTATAAACATTACAAAATTGTACATCTCATACCACTGATGCCACCAGATAACAATTCATCAAATTCAAACTTGATCGTTGACTGATATCAGGATACTGGTTTTACTGTTGACGGACTTGAAATTGAACTTGATATTGCAATTGAATTTTTGCTGTCAGTGATTTCCTTTCCCTTCTCTCTCTCTCTCTCTCTCTCTCTCTCTCTCTCTCTCTCTCTCTCTCTCTCTCTCTCTCATGGATGTTGGACAAATCACATCACACACGAAGGCAGCATTGAAGCAGCTCTCTCTCTCTCTCTCTCTCTCTCTCTCTCTCTCTCTCTCTCTCTCTCTCTCTCTCTCTCTCTCTCTCTCTCTCATGGATGTTGGACAAATCACATCACACATGAAGGCAGCAAGCATTGAAGCAGCGCTTCAGCACTGAGTGGCCGTCCGCTGACAGTGATAGAAATAGTCGGCCTCTTTGAAAGAGTGTTGGAGGGTTGTAACGATACAGGGGATCCCAGTGACAGCATCACACAGCATCAGCATGGAAATTTGCCAGAGCAATGTCATTATGGAGCTTTGGCAACTGAAGCGCTGGGCAGATCAGAATACTCTGCTATTTTCTGTAACCTGAGACAGTAATCGAACCAGAATGCTCTGCTATTTCTTACAAAGTTATACAAACTACTTCTGGAAATTTAGAACCTATTTCGTTGTTTTGCATTTTCTTTCTGTTCAACGAAATAAAAAGGAAAGTGAAGAAACAAACAAAATAGATAAGATCATTAAGAAGGACGATCCTTGACATGATAATCGCACTCGGCAAAGTTTGAGGCTTTGAGCTCTTCACTCGTTGATTGACACAGCTCAGTTGCATTTCTCTGAGCGAATAATAATAACCCCTCCACATTTTGGAGGGATTGACTCCGCCAGGCTCCCTCCCCCAGCTCCACTCCCACATCCCGCCACCTTGCCCCCCTCCTGACTGCCCTCCCCGGTCCCTCGTTCAAGCCAATGGCAATGCCGTGCAAGAAGTAGGCACCTCATCAGCAACTCTGTCACTCCACGGGACGATGTTGGGGCTGTGCTTAGTTGACAAATCCACGTGGTACACGTTGCCGACGTGAGGACTGAAGCGGAACTCTTTTTCTTTTTTTTTAAAATTAAAACAGGTCCTTATGGGCCCGGCTCCATTTCCATTCTGGGGAGCATCAGTCCGGTTCCTATTCCACCGGCAAGTCAGAATAAAACATTACATTACATCATGAAACCCACTCACGCTTCCTTCCGTCCGTCCGAAGGATCCCTGAGCAGCATTGATTACTCCAACATCGTGGAGGATTGACTGTCAGCTTGCCTTACTTCCTCCTTTCCTCTCAGGTCTACTGCATGACCTGTCAGATAAATGATACAAGCAAGAAAGGTAAAAGAATCCACTGAAGATGCAAAATCGGATTACGCCCTCCAACATTATGTGACCTGTGATGAAGCTAGTCCTTCTGCTGGCTGGGAACTCTGCCTTCTCCTCCCTGCTTCTGAGTTGTGCCAGTCTTTCCTTTTTTTTTTCTTTTTTTTTTTTATCGCCACATGACCCTTTAGAATCTCTACCATTCTGATCTCCGCTTACCTTGACTTTGTGTAAGCCCCAACCCCTAATCTCTAAACCCTGCCATACGAGCTGACTAAACCCTAAACCCTAAACCCTCCAACGCTAAGTCCTACCTCACGAGTCTGACTAAACCCTAAACCCTCCAACACCCCCCTCCCTTTTTTATGGTAGCCTAAGATCCGGGGTATCCAACGGATCCCCCACGAGTATCCCTTGTTGTCCCTCTTGGAACCAATGGAAGACCAGCCTAACTCCTTCGATAGTATCTACTTTGCCCTTGGCCAATATCTTTTTCTGGAATTTAATGAAGAGATCCTTCGCCTTTTCTGTGCTTAATGATGATTGCCTTTTTGTCCTCTGCCATTGGGCTCTGATCTCCGTCTCCAATAGATTGTAAAGTGTTGCCTTGGCTTCTACTCTGGCCATTGGCGTCTTCCCAATCATCTGTTGGCATCGCCGTTTCCAGATAGTCCATAATGTGTACTGCCTTAGTAACTTGAAGATGTATTTCTGGCTGGACTGCCACCCCTTGGGTACTTCACTTCCTATCAGTATCGATCTCTTGTGTTGTGGAAAGGGGACCGCTGTAATATGTGTCCACAGTGTTCGAGTGACTGTCCATAGGTATTCCGCTTCAGGGCATTGCAGTAGGCAGTGCGTCAGGGTTTCGGGTACTCCCCCCGTGCACCTGTAGCATGCTTGTTCTGCTACGTCTCTATGGTGCCTGCTTCGCTTATCATACAGCCAAGCATTGACTGGGAGTGCCACATGGAAAATGAGCCACTGCATGCTCCTGACCTTACTCGACCTGATGTTGTGTAAGCTCGGCCAGGGTAATTGCCTGACCTGTATTTCGACCCTCTTCTCCCATCTTATTGACAGAGGGCGGTCCAGCTGGATTGAACGCTTCCTGAGATGGTACCCCAATTTGGTAGTGTAATTTAATATGTTAATTCTCCTGGCAACTCGTAACGTGGCCCCCCTGATGTTCCAGGACCACTCTGCTAGATCAAGTTCTAGGTTCTGAATCTTGGTTGTCGGGGCGAAGACTGTAAAATCCTCCGTCTCTATAACCCTGACCTTCGTCAAGCTATCTTGCTTGATGGTGATCGGAGTACGTGATTCCTTGTCCAGTTGAGTAACTGTGGCACCGGGAGCTGAGATTGTGTACATGTCGGCTTCTGCCCATTGTTTGGTTGGTCCTACAAGTTGTCCTATACGAAAGGCTTCCGCTGGGCTCATCACTAAAACTCCAGGTTGCCCAGTCGCCCCTTCTCCATTGGTACGAGCCTCTCAACAACTGCGTCCACTCGTTCGGAATGGAAATAAGTATGTCATTAAGGTTTTCAAACAGTCTGTGGCTTCCTTTCATTTCCTCCCTCAGTTCTCTGCCTGTTTTCCATCTGCGGTTGTCCTTCGACCAGAGGTGCTTTACTTGCCAGACCCCATGTTCAAGCCAGGGTCCCCACTTTGCATCCCTCGCTGTTAGTGTTCTGGGCCTTCCTTGAAAGTCCTTCAACCATGGATTGCAGAATAAGGGTTGTCTGAGCACCTCCTCCTTCGTAGTTGGTTGTCTTACTCTTTCTGGGAAGATCTCCCCCCATATCTTGAGGATTGGGCCCAGTACGAACTCCTGCTTGGATCCGCTTCAACCCCCTCAACCCGTGCTCCTCCTTTCTTGGCCCAACTTTTGCAGAATAGCCAGAAGGTACCCTCCATATTAGGTGGGGTTCTGTATTTGGCCATTGTACGGATATGCTCTAGTACCAAAGGGACCCATTGGAGCTGAGGATGAGTTAACAGCTTGATGACCCATTTAGTTTGGAGTACTTTCAGTTGCTGACCAGGATCCAAGATGTCCAGTCCTCCCTGGTCCTTGGATTGAATTACCTGCCTCCATGCTACCTTGGATATAAAGTTGAGCTTAGTGGGGTTCGCGGTCCACAAGTAAGTTGCTGCCACCCTCCTGAGCTTCTTGAGTGACTGTGTTGGAGGTGTCCAGATTTATCCCACGTACCATAGCATCGAGAAGATAGAGGCGTTCAATATAAGTGCTCGGTCAAACAAGGAAGTGTAGATCTACGACCAGGCTGAAAGCTTGGTTAACATTTTCGTCATCTGCTCCGATGCCATCGAGTGATGTGGACCTGTATCTGCTAGTCTAATCCCTAAGTATCTTAGCAGTTGATCCGATGGTAGCCAGCTCATCCCCTCCTAGTTTTGTGGTTGAGGCTGTACTTGTTGACCGTCGTAGGAAAGCCACCAGCCAATCGTTTTTGGCCAGTTAATTTTCATCTCAGACGCCGGCTGGAAAGTCGCCATTGCTCTTGTAAGGGCTTCAAATGATGAGTTTGTGGCCCTGATCAAGACGGTCAGATCATCCGCAAAGAGTAGTGTTGTAGGCAGGTGGATGATGCGCCCCTGTTGTTCTGGCTCAGTGATGAGGCAGTCTACCGAGGGATCCTTTGTGAGAAACGAAGCGATTGCCTCCATGATGAAAAGAAAAATGGGAGCCGCCAGCGGGTCTCCTTGTCTGACCGACCTAGTCATCTTGTATCTTCCCGAAAGATGACCATTAACTTGGACCTGACCGTGTGCGTCGTTGTACAGTACCCGAATCCATTTGCGAAAGTTGGGGCCCACCCCCATCTTCTCTATAAATTGCTGCAGGAAGTTCCAGTTCACTTGATCGTATGCCTTCTCGAAGTCGAAGAAGAGAATTGCTGCATTAATCCTCTTGTCAGTGACGTATCTGACCGATTCCGATAGTGTCATGACGTTGTCTAGGATGAATCTCCCTGGAATGAATCTCGTCTAATCCAAATGGAAGCATCCGTTGGTAACCTTTCTCAGACGATTAGCACGTGCTTTCGCCACTATCTTGTGGGTGAGTGTCAGAAGAGTAATCGATCTATAATTCTTGATATCCTTGGAGTCACCCTTCTTGTATAGAAGAGTCACAATTCCTGTCGCCGAATCTGGCCCCAGACCTTCCTCCTGCCATGCCTTATTGAGAAAGTTTTCGTACTCACCCCCTAGAATGGGCCAGTATTCTAACCAAAATTCCTTTGTGAGTCCATCTCTACCCGGCGTCTTGTTGGGAGGCATGGACTGGAGGGCTTCCCTTAGTTTCT